TTTAACATACAATGCTTATTTTAATTTAATATCAAGCTATAAAGGGTATATTACTAAGATTATAACTTAGGTAGCTGTTTAAAATTATTTTTTTAAAATATTCATATTCACAAAATGTAAAATATGTCAAAAATCTTACATTTTAGACATGCTTCTTTAATGAAATTCACTCTATTTTTTTTTAAATTCGAAATAAATTAATTAATACATAGGGTGTTCCATTTAAAAAAAAAACACGACATTGATGCCTAACTTTCTTTGGGAACACCCTGTGGAATCCTATATATTTTTATAAAATTCTTTCAATTAACCTACATGCTCCAAAATTCTATTACAATATAAACTACCGTTCGCTTTGGAGCCCCCGCGTCTATGAGAGACGCCACTCTGTATCAAATGACAGTGACCTTGTCTTCCAAGCCAACTCTGACGCCGTTTTTTTTAGATCCTAGGATATTATTATTAATATAATTATCTTACCATTTTTATTCAATTAAAGCAATTGAAATAGTTATCAAATAAGTAATTATACATTTTTAAAAGAACCAATAACAAATAATCTGTGTTCCAGGAACTGGATAACAACGACATATCTTCGAACATACCTCCAATAAGCGCTGTCCGTAACGGCGCACCAATCAACAACAATCTAGATTACAATCTTACGAATAACAACAAGCAAAGAATAGACACGTTAGATTCAAACACCGGTAAGTATCTACAAAACTATTTAATATAATATTATTAATTTTTTATTGCTGTTATTAGGCGCTTTACAAACTCTTGACAGGAGAGACCCAGATGGTAAAGACAACGATTCGACGATAGACGGTGGAATATTAGATTCGAAAGAAAAAACGTATACCACCGATGTAAACGGCAAGGTAAGATCATCTTTTGTATTTATCTTAATACAGGGTTAATCAAAATTAATACAATTTTATGTTACCCTTTTTTTCCAATTAATATCTCAATTTTATAAAATGAACCAAAATCTAATATTTCAAATATAGATTAAAACTGCCTCTGACGTCACTTATGGAAAATACTACATATTGCTATCAGAATGCAAAGGAATTTTAGCAGTGATTCTTACCCGTAATTAGAGAAAATTCTCTATACATTAATTAAGATTTAATTTTATATTTTTAACTAATGGAAAATCATCATCATCTTCACCTTATTCAACCATTTCCAATTATGGTGTAGCCTCCCTCACATATTTAGATACTCTGTAGTTGGGCCCATTTTAGTCTATTGTTGGCTATGCGGGCCCAAGTTATCCTTGCTAATTTCCTAATATCATGGTCCCATCTTAAGTTTGGTCTTCTTCTAGTTCTTTTAATTCCTCTTGGGTACCATGCTGTAATCTTAGTGGTCCATCTGTTATCCGCCCTTCTCGCCAGGTGTCCTGCCCATTGCCACTTGAGGGATTTGATTCTGTGGATGACATCTATTATCTGGGTCCTTTTGTCGAATCCACTCTATTCTTTTACGGTATTTCTTGGTTATTACTAGCATATTTCGTTCCATTGAGCGTTGTGCGACCTGCAGTTTCCTTTAATGTCCGCTTTAAGTGTCCAGGTTTCGCATGCATAAGTCGAGACTGGTAGTACACATTCAAATGTTTTCTTCTTTAGATAAAGTGGCATTCTACATTTGAATATTATTGAGTTTCTTTCGTAAGTACTCCATGCTAACTTAATTCTTCTCTTGATTTCTGGTAGTAGAGATCCCGAGCTGTGTATTAGTTGTCCCAAATATTCTTCTACTATTTCCAGTGCTGTGTTATTTATTAGAATGTCTTTTCTATTATAATACTGACCACCAAATAAAGTGACCAGTGCCGTATAGCGGCATATGTTATTAGCGCGAAACGTTTATTATGGCATTTTAACTGTCAAAGTTGTCAAAGTAACACCTCCCTTAAACCCCGTTTAACACTTCAAACAACCAATGAGAGCTGTACTAAATTTAAAATTGATTGAATTTATACAAATCTCATTGGTTCATTGAAGTTTCCCCAGCGACACAACGCACTTCTGAGAACGAGTCATATTTCTCCATTCGTTAATGACGCCCTACGTTGCTTATCATAGTAAGTACTCATAAGTGACGTCAGAATTTTTAGGCCCCTGTTTAAACTAGTGACAAATAATGTAAAATTTAATTTTTGGTGGGTGCATGCTTCAGATCTTAGCCATAACGCTGACATTAGTCCTAACTCCAAGAATATAAATCAACGTTAACGAACGCTAGCGTTCATGCTTCCGTTGTATCGATCCTAACTTAGCCCTAGTCCTAACAGGTTGGGATATTTTATATTCTTAGGGCTAATGCTCGTTCAAAACTGAATCGCGCATGCTCAAAACTAGGGGTTTTGAGATTCTCGAAATAATATCTGACATGTTGAATTTGACGGTTTGTGAATGTCATGTATTTTTTGGTCTAGAAATTATTAATGTAAACATTAGTTTCTCTAGTATTAGAAATTTTGATATATAACACATGATTTTGATTTATAGTTTTGATATAACAACATATGATTTACATGAGCGCAAGCGCTTACAAATATATTGATTATTTTAGAAGTATGAATGGCATTTTTTTAAGTTCTTAAAGTTAATTTCTTAGGGTTAATCTTGGGTTAATGTTAAGGATAAGGTTAAGACTAATTCACGAAGTATGAATCCACCAACACTCTTCCTTAATCCTTAATTTTGCCATCGATTCTATTTATTTTATAGATATATTTATTTGATTATGTCACAACCGATTTTTATAATTTAGGTAACTGTTCATGTGGTTGTGACAATAAATGGTAACGGAACATTAGCTGACCTTAAGAAGCAAAGGATGCAAATTAGAAACAGCAACGCATCTCCGGTGGGTAGCTTAGACGAATCAGAGTCGTCGCCCCAAAATTCGAATTCCACGGATATCATCAGGTTTACCGGCGACACCACACAAGAAAACGTAGAATACGCCAAACCCAAAAGATGTTGCGTCATACAGTAAGACAAACGATAAGTCTTTTTTATAAATAATACAGCAACAATTTTAAATCTAAGAATTATCGATTTTAAGCACTGAAAATCTTTCGATTCCACGTTTCGTCAAATAATGTAAGTACCTTCCGTAGCGTATGTCATTTAGTTTTTTGTATACAGATTAGTAAATCTGTTTAAAGCAAAAAAAAAACAATGAAAAGAGAAAAACTAAGGCATATTTTGTACAAGGACACCAAAAACCATAGCAGAAAAAAAAGTACCTTGGACAAAATATAGAGTGTAAAATACGTCCTAGTGTTTATTTTTTAGTCTTTTTTTAGTCAAATTTGTTTATTGATGGATATACTGTCTATCAAAACGTCCGATATTTTTTGTACAGTGTTAGTATTTTATTTCTCAAATTTTTAACAGGCTTTAAATTTCTTTTCTTTTATTTTTGGAGATAAGACGGTAATTAAAAAAGCAAATTGTAGCATTTTTATTATATTTTGATGTGCGTTACAGTTGGGGGTTGGGACCTTTGGCGTTGAACAGCAAAATAAAAACACTAAATCACCGCAATACACCAAAACACTATTACTTTTACACTGGACGCTTAATCATCTGCTGATGACGCTAACATGCGTACGTCCAGTGTAAAAGTATTGTGGTGATTTAATGTTGTTATTTTTTTTGCTGATGTGCGTTATCAAAAATGTCAAAATCGTACACTGCCAACTGTCAGTGTCAACTATTATATTTATTCTACAATGTTAACAATATTTTTTTAATGTGAAATGGAATACCCTATATGTAGTACAATATGATCGAAAAAAACGGCGTCAGCGATGGCTATGATATGAAGATCGCTGTCATTTTATATGTAGAATTATATATAAAATATCATCGATCGTCATTTCTAAGCCAAGTGGACACCGTTTTTTTTGGTCATACAGTATTAAGTGTCGTGTATTAAATTTTTTAAAAATTGTATCAAATAGAGTTATATTCTGTTTATAAAAGAAGTTATAGTCTGTTGAATATAGGACAAAATAAAAGGCTGTAACACTGTACTTTACACGCAGATTTGTACTTAAATAATTATTTATTGCAACTAGTGGCTTTAAGCTTCCTTTTATTAACAAAATTTTTAAAAGATTCGATGAGCAGTATTAATGTAACGATAATGCATTTCAGTTTTTGAATGTGTTTTTTAAATTAGTTTTTATATTATTTTAATTTTGTTAAGTTGTTTAGAAAAACTTATTTTACATTTTTTAATTTACTTATTTTTGATTTAATCAGAGCAGTACTAAGCTAAACATTTTATAGAAGTAAAAAAATAATCTACAACAAAAAGATAATTTTTTTAATATGTTATAATTTCAAACAAGTTTTGCACACATCTTAAAATGGTTTTATATTTCTTCTGTAGCAAATGAATGGGAAATATCTACGTTTTTTATGGTGTTTCCTAGAATTTGAAAATTATTATTTTTTTTTCTTTCAGAATAAGCACTAAGTATACATATTTAAAAGTATTTGATATTTGTGTCAATTAAATTATAATAAAAAATGTATTTAATTAACTTACAAAAAAAATATACACATATACATCTTTGATAATAATTTCCAAAAATGCGTATATTCCATATACAGTCTCCGCAAAAAAGTTATGATTTTTTAGTTATGACAAGTGGACTTAGGTAACGCACTTTTGTTTTGTTTGTCTAAAACCTTAAATTAAATTACCGTCATAGTTGTGCGACTTGGTTTATATGTAAAATTTGACATTTCTTATTAAAAATGTCGAAAAGTATCCTTATTTATTAAGCAGACAGTAGGAACGACTGATTAGTGAGAACGAAAATCTAGGAACTACTGGGTTTGCAGTCGAAAGGGTTGGATTGAATTAATAACTTTGTTAATAGTCAATCTTTCGAAATTTTTTTATTCCATTTTTTGGACATCAAAACCTTCTCTAAAAACTACATTAAAAAATTGGCTTGAAAGATACATTGAAGACTCCACAGCAAAAGCATCGCCGACCAGTCAACCACATTGTGGGCGTTAATGGGGCGAGTAAAAACGCTTATTTATCTATTTGAAACATTAAAAATAATCGCGAAATTTAAAGCACATTTCAACTGCGTCTCAATTTTAAGCAGAGGACGTACAACCAACGTACGTTTTTTTTTCTGTCTCAATTGTTATTTATTAATATTTTTATTAATTTGTTTGTGATGGCCGGCCGTAGCGCAAGCAGTATTCTGTCAATCTGCGGTGCGAGAGATGGAATGATATTGGGTTCGATCCTCAGTCAGTACGGTCGCTTTATTTATTTAAATAAAAATATTTATCTAAATAGA